TGCATCCCGAGTCGTTTTTTGACGCTCCTGGGGCCCAGTGGGGGCCCCCAGAGGCCGAAAATAGCGAAAAGCCTCCCGTCGTAGTTTTTCACAGCGAAAAGGGGTCTGAGGGCGGTCTGGCGGCTCCGTGCTCGCCGTCGCCGCCCCGTCGCCGCCCGTCGTCTGGACCTGGCTGGCGGTCTGGCGGCTCCGTGCTCGCTGTCGCCGGCCAGTCGCCGCCTCGTGCCCGCACTACACAGATCGCACCACACAGGCTGCTCCACAAGGACTGTACAGCACACAATGGAGGCTAGTCCACAAGAAACCGTCCTCAAGAAATTCAGCCCTGAGACCCCAGGACGTCCCTTGGTGTCTGGTGTGGGAACGTCACGCTGTCCTTAGCAAAAGCATCGAAACCCAAGAAGCCCAGGACACCCTGGAGCCCTGGAGGCAAGCAAGGTGTTTCTTGGCATGGCCCCCCACTGTAGGTTGCTCCACAGAGACTGCACAACGTAGATTGCACGACAGAAATTCCCGCTTCCAAAAAGCGATTCAGACCTACTCCCGCCCGGCTGTGTCGGCACCCCCAGGGATCATGCAATGTACATCTGGCTTCGCCCCGTCATTCCTTTTGAAAATGAACTCACACCATCCCATCCCAGCCGGTTTCGACACCACCCCACCATCCTCGTCACAAGTTACTATGCGCGCGCATTCATTTTCTGAAATTTAGCACTTTTCGAGGGTCCCTTGCAACGTATTCAACAAGGTCCACACGCGCGCGTCGTCGCGCGCGCATTCGGGACTTCCTGAAACACGTGATCCTCGGCGTCGGGAGCCGCTGTGTGCTGGTCGGAGCGCCCACTCCCGATGCTGCAGGCGGCGGCGCCCAGTACAGTCATCGTGCTACCAGGAGGAGCGACGGATAAGGAACGAAAGGGCCTTCCTGGCCACTGGGAGCCTCAGCTACGAACAAGCTCTCCGGCCGAGGCATGAGGAATGGCCCGAAAACCAGAGCCCGTCCTGAGCCAGAAGTGGCCCTCAGTTCAGCATATTGGCTGCACTACAGGAAAGGATGGCCCCAGCTGGGCGCGCGGAATGGTGGTGGTGGTGGGGGTGTTGGTGCTGTCGACGGCTCGCTGCTCCGGGCTGGACCTGTTCGTGGCCCCAAGTCGTGCTCGGACGGCCCCCGGGGGCCCGAACAGCCTCCCCCCGCCCCCCCCCCACCGGACGCCGAACGCCGCGAGAAACCTCTGGAGCGTGTCGTGGCCGAGAGGCCCGCGCCCGAAGCGGTCCTTGCTTCAGCGTCTTGACCGTCCCAGATCATCTGGGACCGGCTGAACTCGGTAACGGATTTCTGGGTTGTCGATTTCAGGTCGCGACCGGATCCCGGTTTTGACGCCATCTCGAAGTAATTGAAAAACGCCCCTGCTCATGATCTCTCAATTTCGGTATTAGCAATCCGAATTTCGGTATCGATTGCGACGCAGAATTCGGTATCGTCGAACGCGAAATTCGGTAACGAACCAGGCGCGGATATCGAATGTTGATGATCATGTCCCGACCCAGACGTGTGGAGCGGCCCGGCCCAGAGGGGCCACGGGCAGCCTCCCGGGCCCGAGGTGCTCCTTCCTTCGGCGTTCTGACTGCGTCGGGGGAAGCGCAGATGTACCGATACAGTCGAGGCGTTGACCTAAGGAACCATCAATAAGGAACGGGGCCCCTTCCTCCCATAAATTGAGATTCGATTTCCCATGGGAAACCTCAGGAAAACAGAAGGCGAACTGCAGAACAATCAAGGAACACCGAGCCCCTCCCCAACGAAAAGGGTTCCTTCTTCAGGGCCCCGACTGTACCGCTGCAGTCAAAACCTGTCGTGAGGAAGTGCGGTAGGGACAGACGGGGAAACGCAGATGGGACGCTTCGGCGTTCTAGCTGCGTCGGGGGAAGCGCAGATGTGCCGATGCCGCTGCAGTCAAAACCTGTCGTGGGGAAGCGCTGTAGGGACGCACGGGGAAACGCAGATGGGACGCTAGAGTCAATACCCATCGTGAGGGCGCGTGGGGAACCGATACCGCCACAGCCGAAGTTGGGGCATCCTGGGCGCCCGCCCCAAGGGTACCCCGAGAGGCTGGCCAGTGAGAGTTGCAAAGGACGGGGCCGCAGAGGCAGAGGGAGGAAGGGACCCAAGGGTACCCTAGAAAAGGCGCGCGTTTTTATCATGGGCGTGGACTGTACTCCACGGCCCTCTCCTGGGGTGCGCTCTGACCAGGATCTCAAGGCGAATCCAGCGGTGGCGACAAGGGCCTCCCAGGAGGCCGTAAACGGAGAAAACGAGGAAAAGGTAGCGTGCGTTTTCTTCTTTGGCGTTTCGGCATTGAGCGAAAGGGGGGGAGGGGGTCTGGCTCTGGACCTCTGCTTAGTGCGACTGTTTGGAACAATGCTCCCATGGTGCTCCTGCGGGGAATCCTATGGGGAGGCGGGGCCCCCGTGCTTACTCCACATGCTTGAAACAGGGCCCCCGTGCTTACTCCACATGCTTGAAACAGGCGCCGAAAGCAGCCAAGATCTACTCCAAGGGGGGGGGAGGGAGGGGGGGTGCGAGGGCCCGCGACGATCGGCAAAACCATGAATCGGAACGATCACGAGGCCGAAAAAGGGGAAGATGAGGAACAAATAGTGGTAGGGGTACATTTTCCCCCCTTCAGAGTGCCCCCCCCGCCTCCCCGCAGGAGGCAGTCGCGCAGCATGCAGCCCCCGCCCACGGCCCAGCCCACAGCCCCCGCGGAAGGGAGCCGCAGACCTGCTGAGCTTCCATGGTGAAGCATCGGGTTCCGCACAGCCCCCCAGCAAACCCAGCTGGCCTCAACGGGCCCCCTGACTGGCCCCAGCGAGCCCCCCCCCGAGTGCCCCTCTGCCTCCTCCTCCTCCTCCTTCCTCCTCCTCCTCCTCCTCCTCCTCCTCCTCCTCCTCCCCCTCCTCCTCCTCCCCTCCTCCTCCTCCTTCCTCCTCCTCCTCTCTCCCTCCTCCTCCTCCTCCTCCTCCTCCTCCTCCTCCTCCTCTTCGAGAGTTCCCCCTCTGAGTGCCCCTCTGCCTCCTCCTCCTCCTCCTCCTCCTCCTCCTCCTCCTCCTCCTCCTCCCCTATCCCCCTCCTCCTCCTCCTCCTCCTCCTCCTCCTCCTCCTCCTCCTCGCTCCTCCTCCTCCTCCTCCTCCCACCTCCTCCCCTCCCCCCTCCGCCTCCTCCTCCTCCTCCTCCTCCTCCTCCTCCTCCTCCTCCTCCTCCTCCTCCTCCTCCTCCTCCTCCTCCTCCCCCGACGAGGAGTTCCCCCTCTGAGTGTCCCTCCGCGGGGGCCCATTCCCCACGGAGCGGTCCGGCGCTGGGGGTGCGCGGGCTCGGGCGCAGCGGGAGAGGCCGAGAACGGCTGGGCTCTCTCCGCGGCAGCCGCCCGGCTTCTCGCAGTGCTCCGACGCTGCGGCCGCGACCGCCGCTGCCGCCGCCGAAGACGACGACGACGACGACGACGACGACGACGACGACGACGACGACGACGACGACGACGACGACGACGACGGCGACGGCGATGCCATTTTCCGCGACGCTCGTGATGTGGACTTGCTCGGGAGGAACAAACGGGGGAGACAATTTGAAAGGCAACGATCGGGGGGGGACTGGGCTAGGGGGGGATGCATCGACCTGGAATCGACGATACATTGTCGATAGATCGGCGACAGGCCCCCGATAGTGAAACAGCACCTTCCTGGGCGGGTTGGGGCTATCGGGCTCCTATCGGGTCGATGCATCCCCCCTGCGCCTATCCCCCCTATCGTTGGCCCTGACAATTGTCGTGTTGGGAGAAAGGGGCTGGGAAGATACAGGGCACGACCGTGAATTCAGCGCTTTCGGCAGAATCGGTGACAGGGATGATCTGATAATTTCTCCCAGCCCCATCCCCCCAACCCGATCATCGTCCTTATGCAAAAAAAAAACAAGCACAGAAACTTCCAGCGCCCCGCGCGGACTTCTTGGATCGGCGCTGGCCCAGTCCAGCGCCGATCCAGGAAACCTGAGCGGACCTCCTCACGCAGCCCTTTCTTCTCCGACTGCTGTGTGGTATGTGGGCAGGCAGCCAGACGGGGCGGCCCTTCGTCCGCGGGCGAAACCGCTCGGATCCCCATGTCCCGGGGCGTGGCAGAAGCGACTGGCGTCCAGGTATCGCGCCGCCCTCGGATGAAGCAAACTGTCCACAGCAGTGACGGATTCTGTCTCTCATTGTGCTGCACTGCTCGCCTCTTGCTGTATTCCTGCTCCGCTCCGAAGTGTACTGTCTCGTGGTGCCGCTGCAGAAGGTACGAGGACGTGTTGTGTTCGAATGCCTCAGGCGCGTATGCTCGTGGTGAATGAATGCGAGGGGGGAAGACACAACGGAAGAGGAGGGAGGAGGAGGAGGAGGCGGAGGAGGGGGAGGGAGAGGGTAGAGGGTAGAGGGTAGAGGATGAGGATGATTATGATGATGAGGAGGAGGAGGAAGAGAAGCAGGAGGAGGAGGAGGAGCAGGAGGGGGAGGAGGAGGAGCAGGAGGAGGAGGGGGAGGAGGAGCGCACCTCACCAGAGGGAAAAGGGTCATGCTATGAGCAGCGATGCGCTGTCACGCTGCTCTCAGAGGTACTCGTGGTCGACCTCGAGAGCGTAGCCGTCAAAGAACAACAAACAGCAATACCAACGATAACAAACAGTCGAATTAATAATACGAATAATAACACGGATAATAGCAATAATACTAATAATAGGGTTAAGAGAAATACTATGTTTAATAACAATAGGAAAACTAACTAATAGCAAGACTAATCACAAAATAATGCCGCATCCCCCAAGGTCGTCGATGAATCTGGAGTGGGCGACGCCGAAGATGCCGCAGGATATGACATCGCCGAAGACAGCGAAGAGGTTCCTGGAGTACTTGGAGCAGGAGAAGTGGACATCAGCATCGGGATGGAGGTATCCACTTAAGTGTCCAGGAGCTTCGCAAACGAGTCCAGGCACTCCTTGGTGCAAATGCTCGTGCTCAGGATGTCGAAGTAATCTGCCTTGGAGCCCATAAGCTTGTCGTTCCCGAGCGCCTCCATCAACTTCGTAATCCTGTTCAACTTCCTCATGTCGTCCACGCGCTTCAGCGGGATGTCCGTGTCGGGGAAACTCCCGGAACAAGAACCATTATCTATCAAGGAGTTGCCGTGTTCTGTGTTGGAGCCCATGTGCGCGTTTTGCGTGTGCTTCTGCACCATCTTTTTCGTATTGTTCAGCTTGTTCTGGGCATCCACGCTCTGGGGCGGGAGGCTCGCGTCGGTGTTGCCCTTGGAGCACGTGGTATCCGGCTTGAGCTCTGCCTTGAGCTCTGCCAATTCACTCGCACACTTGTCCTCGCAAGTGTCCAAAAGGCCACCACACTGATGTAACCAAACTCAGGGATCAAGTCGAGGTGCCCCCGGAGGTCCGCGATCTCAACCGCGAGCGCCTGCAGCGTCTCCTTGTTGTCGTTGTGTGCCTCACTCGGGGGCTGGAAGGCGGTGCTGCGCTGCTTCTGCACGATGGTCCTGATGCGCTGCGCCATGGCCGAAACCTTATCGATGAGCTCGCCGTTCGTGCGCTTCTGGTTGTGCACCGTCCGGTCAGGTGCGAGTTCGCCGGGTACTGCACGGCCAACACCAGCATCAGGAGGCCGTTGCTGCACCGCAGTGCCCAGGTCATCCACTCGCCGTTGCTGCTGCGACGTTCTCCTTTTCGACTTCGTCTTTGTCACTGGTGTCGGCTGCTCTTTGTCAGCGTGGTGCCCGCTCTGCTAGCAAGAGTCGTCATCGACGACAGCATGCTCACAATATGGACTTCAATTCATGTCCACCTGGTTGGCGGCAGCGGGACCTGATTGCTGAATCCCCTCATGGACCAGCCGACGAGGCTCAAGTCGGACCGCGGCCTGGACGCGGATGCGAGCCACAAGACGTTGGCGAATTCCGGGCCGAACCACCAGTTCCTGCAGCAGTTCACGGACCGTTTCATGCCAGATATCACGGAGCAGATGTCCTTGTTCCTGAAGCCGTTGTTCGGCGATGTGGCTGGGCGGTTCGAAGAAACGCCGACAGCGGCCATCATGAAGAGCACCACCGCGAACGCGGTGACCGGAGCAGCAGCGCCAACAGACATCATTGCTCCGACGGGCTCCGCGCTTGCGGAAACGAAAGCCCTCTCGCGACAAGGAGGAAAGCTCGCGGGTGCGCGGCGCGGCAACGAGCTGCCCAGCTCAAGCGACCTTGAGCCAAAATGGCAACGGAGGATGAGGAAGAGGAAGAGGAGGAGGAGGCGGCGGCGGCGGAGGAGGAGGCGGAGGCGGAGGCGGAGGTGGAGGAGGAGGAGGAGGAGAGGCGGAGGTGGAGGAGGAGGAGGAGGAGGAGGAAGGAGGAGGAGAGGAGGAGGAGGAGTGGGGTAGGGGAGGGAGGAGGAGGTGAGGAGGAGGAGGAGGAGGAGGAGGAGGAGGAGGAGGAGGAGGAGGAGGAACGCGTTGCGGAGTCAACTTGGCCGCCGCGCCACCTTGGATGCTGTGTTGGCGGCGGCACGATCGCGCACTACAATGGCGTCTGGGACTGGCTCGCGCGCTGGCTGCGCGCCCGCGGCGCCCTCTGGGTGGCCACAGGGCAGGCCGCCCCCGCCTGGGGCCGCTTGTGGTCGTGCAGCCGCTTGGAGGCCGCCCGCCTCGACGTGGCCTTCGCAGATCCCACTGCCCCTCCCCGCCACCCTTCCTGCCGTCGGCAGGGCCCCGGACAGCCCGCCCACCGCTGCGCGCCAGGGCGCCGCGCGGACCGAGAGGCGGCCTAGATGCCCACGGAGGGCTTGGTCGCCCAAAGAGGGTCGTAGTGGACACCTGCAGGGTTGAAGACGTGGATCACGCGCTGGGCGTGCTCGGGCGCCGAGACGCCGCCGTGGCGGCTATGCGGCGAGGTGGTGGTGGCGGACGCCGCCCTCGGCGCGGGCGCGGCAGCGGGCCGGGGCCGGGCCGCCCCGGGCCTCGGAGCGTGCGCGGCGGCGGCGGGGGAGCGCAAGCGCAGGCCTGCACTCGCCTGCAGCGCTCGTGGCCTCTGCGAGGAGGAGGAGGAGGAGGAGGAGGAGGAGGAGGAGGAGGAGGAGGAGGAACGTGAGGTATAAAAGGAGGAGGAGGAGGAGGAGCAGGAGGAAGGGAGGCGGGGAGGAGGGGGGGGAAAGAAGGAGGAGGACAATCTGCAACCCAAATACGCATCAATATGTTGCAAGGGTGGACCCTCCCTCCAAGTTCCCTCCCCCTTCGTATGTCCAACTACAACCACTACAAAAAACTACAACAAAACTACAACCCCTTTTTCCCCCTTTTTCACTGCGGGAAGCGCGCTGTTGGAAAACAGCCCTCTGAAAATCATACGCCGCGAATCAACGTTGCTGTTGCGTCCTGGCAATCCTGAGTCGCACAAGAACACCACTGTTAGGACGTCAACACCGCGAATCAACGTGACTGTTGAGCCCTGACAATCCCAAACTCGTGTCAGAAGACAGTTTCTGGGACGTCAACCATAAGAATCCTTCCATCCGCGAAGCTCCTGCAAACTCTTTAAGGCGACTGTGCGCGGCGCTCAGGCGAGAGCCACACCTTGAAAACGACCCGCCCTCCAACCGTGACGTCCCTGCAAACTTCTAAGACGAGTGTGCGCGGCGCTGAGGCGGGAGCCACATCTTGAAAACGACCTGCCCTCCGCCCATAAGAATCCCTGTGCATGCTGTGCGCTTCTAAGACGGATGCGCGAGGCGCGAAGGCGAACATCATAGTCTTAAACGGGAGCCGCCCTCCACCCGTGCAGCCCTTTGTAGACTCTCACAACGGGTGGTGCGCGGTGCGGGGGCGAATACCATATCTTGAAAACGGCCCGCCCTCCACGCGTGAACACTTCTTCTAAAACTTTGATCGCGGAAGTGCGCGGCGCAGATGCGATACAACCACATTTTGAAAACGGCCCGCCCTCCATCCGTGAAGTTCTTTTACACTCTTAAGACGAATGTACGCGGCGCAGAGGCGCGAACGACATTTCGAAAATGGCACGCCCACCAGCCGTGAAGCTGTTGCAACTTATGGGCTTCAGGATCATCCGTGGCGAGGAAGTCGCAGGCGAAATGCCCAGCCCGCCCACCGACGCGTCTCGGGGTGTTACACTGCGGAATTCTTTATACGGAAAAGGGAAGGGGATGCGGAGGAGGAGGAGAAGAGGGAGGATGAGGAGGAGACAGTAGTAGGAGTAGGGGTAGGAGTAGGGATAGGAACATGAGTACGAGTAGGAGTAGAAGTAGGAGTAGGAGTAGGAATAGGAGGAGGAGGAGGAGGAGGAGGAGGAGGAGGAGGAGGAGGAAAATGAGGAGACTGAGGAGGAGGAGGGAGAGGAGGAGGAGGGAGGAGGATGAGAGGAGAGGAAAGTGAAGAGGTGGGGAAGGCGGAGGGAGGCGGAGGCAAGATTGACAAGGGGGGGAGGAGAATAAGGAGAGAAGAAGGAGGAGGATAAACCCCCCGTTCCCAAGAGGGAGGAAGAAGAGGAGGGATGAGTTGGTAGGATGAGAATGGGCGGGGAGGAGGAGAAGGAGAGAGGAAGAGAAGGAGGAGGCGTAGGAGGGGGAAGGAGGAGGGGTGAAGGAAGGAGGGACCCACGGTCACTCTAAATGGGTTGTCTGTCCTAGGAGGAGGTAGGAGTGAATAGGAGAACAAAGGAGGAAGGAGGAAGAAAAATAAAGAAACAGGAGGGGGGCGGAACGGAAGAGGAGGATGGAAGCGTCGGTGGGTGGGCCAGAGGCGCAGCCAAGCGCCTCGCCTTCGCCGCCCTCGTGCCCACCGCCCAACTTCCGGCGTGCAGGGCCGCCCGCGCCGCGCCGGCAGATGAGGAGTGGGCGCAAGAATGAGCAGGAGAGGGCCTGGAGAGAGGAGGGAGGGAGGGAGGGAGGGAAGGAAGAAGATGAGGAGGAAAGGGAGGGGGGGGAGGGGAGGGAGGGAGGGATGGAGTGAGGAAGACGAGGAGGATGATGAGGAGCACGAAGCGGAAGAGGAGGGAGCGAGCGAGCGAGAGCGCGCCGTCGGCCTGGAGGCCCACCCCCGTGATGGGAGGCGGGCGGGGCCTCCCCCCCCCCTCGTAAGGTGTGCCAGGGTAAAGGGAGGAGGGACAGACGGGAGGAGCGGCGAGGAGGAGGAGGAGGATGATGAGGAGGAAGAGGAGGAGGAGGAGGGGGCGGGAGGGGGCGGGAGGGGGCGGGAGGGGGCGGAGGGGGCGGGGGATGAGGAAGGTCTCCTTGTTCCTCCTCCCACTCCACATCCCCCACTTTCCCCTATCCCCTCTACGGTCAGTGTGCATAGGGACAGAGGAGGTGAGGGATTCTGTGTAGTGATTCCGACATGCTGCTGCTGCGGATGATGATGGCAATGGCGATGACGATGATGATGGCGATGCCGATGAGAACGATGATGATGCCGATGATGATGCTGATGATGATGGTGCTGCTGGTGATGGTGATGATGCAGATGGTCATGATGAGGAGGAGGATGCTGCTGATGATGGTGGCGGTGGTGATGCTGATGATGCTGATGGCAGTGATGACGATGGTGATGCTGATAGTGATGATGATGACGATGACGATGACGATGATGCTGATGCTGGTGATCATAAGGAGGATGGTGCTGCTGAATATGGTGGCGGTGGTGGTGATGATGATGCAGTGATGGTGATCGTGATGCTGATAGTGATGCTGCTGCTGATGATGATGATGATGATGACGATGACTATGATGATGATGATGATGATGATGATGATGATGATGATGATGATGATGATGATGATGATGATTATGGTACTGATGATAATGGTGATGGTGATGATGATAATGATGATGATTGTGATGCGAATGATGATGATGATGATGATGATGATGATGATGATGATGATGATGATGATGCTAATGATGCTGAACATGAAGATGGAGATGATGCTGAAGCTGATGATGATGATGATGATGATGATGATGATGATGATGATGATGACGGTGGTGGTGATGATGATGATGAAGAAGATGCTGAAGATGATGATCATGATGATTCTGATGATGAAGGTGATCAACGTGATGAGCGAGATGATGAGGATTCTGTTGTAACTGTGGATGCAAATGTAGATTCTGGTGGTGGTGATGATTGATGGTGGTGCTGTTGGTCGGAAGCTGGGAGACCCAGGCTCGTAGCGAACGAGCTGTGGGCCTGGCTGGTCCCCGAGGCAGCCGCCACATTGAGACGAGCCGGTGCCAGCACAGAAGAGCGCGCGCGGGAAGGAGTGTTTGACGTTGGCGGCGTTCCCCCAGGAAGGGGTGTTTGTCGTCGTCGTCGCCGTCGTCGTTGGCGTTGGAGTATTCGACGTTGGCGGCGTTCCGAGGGGAGGACGCGGGGATCACTAGTGCTTTTGGCCCCTCCAGGGCACGGCATCTAGTGAAGATCGGTACGTCCCCCCCACGCCGGCCCCAAAAACCCGACGGCGAAAGAGATGGACCGGCATGCACACCATCGCCTCTGTGTAGTAGACGCAGAGAGGGGCAGGCAATTCGTGCCCCACCCCGACTATTCACTCGTAGCCTTCCCTCCTCCCCTCCGCCTCTCCCCCCCCGTAACCTCATGTTAGCCAGCGTGGACCCCAAACAATGTGGTTCGAGCATTCTGTGTTGTGCAATCCATGTGGAGCATATCATACGGTGCAACATATGTGGTGCCATCTATACAGTGCAGTCTATATGGTGCGAATTATATCGTGCAGTCTATGTGGTACAGTCTATGTCGTGCAACTGACTACTCTGCACGCGCTTGACCACTTCCACTGCTCGCGCAAACATCCCACCCACCCACCCGCAACTTGGTTTGCAACATCTCTTAAGACCGTGACGGTGGGTACCAAATGGCACTTGGCAACGACAGCGACGCCGACGACGACAGCGACAACGACAACGACGACGCCGCCAACAACGACTACGAGGACACCGACGACGTCTCCAACGACTTCGAAGACGCCGACAACGACGCCGACGACGACGACGCCGACGACGACGCCGACGCCGACGACGACGACGATGACAACGACGACGATGATGACGACGCCGACGACGACGAC